CGACGCGGACCACGCGGTCCTCGGCTATCGAGAGCGAGGACGTCACCATCAAGGTTACCGGCAGCGCCGTTCTCAAGATTGGCGGTGCCGAGATCCAGTGCCAGGATGGCGGCGAGATCAACATCACCCAGCCGAGCCGCAACGGCGGCAGCGACCGGGCCAGCACCGTCTACTCGGACGACCGCCCGAGCCGCAGGGACTCACGCCCGCTGCCCATCCGCGCCCGCGCCGACTCGTGGAACCGCAGCCAGGTCAGCGACTACAGCTATGCTCCGCAGGCCAGGCCGCCCTTCTTTTGAGCGGCCACGATGACGACGAAGTTGACGAAGCGATGGAGTTTCCTACGATTTCATTGAAGCGAGCGTTTTGCATTGTATCGATACGATTGCTTCTCTTCTCTGCATTGAGGTTGACGAGGTTGACGCTCGTCTCCCCATTGTTACCACCTTTCTATTTGCATTTCTTATACCATTTGAACGAATCATGTATATGCAGGCTCAGACAGGGAGCCTCGAGGACGTATGGAATTTGTATGCTGGGACGCGATAATGGGTCAATGTTTTTCTTCCTTTCTGGGCATACGCGGAGTAGAGGCCTCTCTTGGCTACCCCCGGGTGATGGCTGTCGTGCCTGCGACACTACTCGCCCTGACCGCGTGTCGGGGCGGAGCAGTGTGTCGCATTTTCAGCACGGCGTACGAGTCGGACACGTTGATAGACAACCTGTATGGACAATCCGGGAAGTTCGCACTTCCTGCGCTATCAGGGAGGGTGGCATGTGGGAAATTGTCATGGCCATCATCGGGATTCGCTTCTAGATCATTTGGAGGATACCATTTTGTAGTGGCGGCCCGCGAAGGGTGGCCCGGTTGGGGGAAAAAAGGATACGGATAGGTGTTGCGGATGACTCGCCCTTTGAGCGGCGAGACAGATACCCCTAGCATGGCTGAGCCATATAGGCCGCAATTGAAATGAAAAGTTGGAACAGTAACCGCTCTGATGGTCCAATTGTCCCGTGATGTGCCCGCCAGTCCGGTCAGGTCGTAGACGCACGCCCTCCATCCCACGAGGGAGGGCGATCAGTTTCCGTTCCAGGCAGTCCGATCGACGAGCAGCATTCGCGGGATGCCTCAGAGTTTTGCGCCTGTCATCTCTTTTGGCTTTCAGGTCCAATGAGAAGGGGTGAACGTGTTGGCCGAGCTTATCCGCAGGGGTTTGCAGAGCCCGTCAGCGTGCTGTAGTTGGCGCTGGCGGACGTGACACAGACTTGAAACGGCACAGGAATAGGGCGTAGGTCTCTTTTTGGCGGCCTGCGGTGTGTGAAGCGACGATGTCTGAGTTGACTGCGCGGACGGGGCTCAAACATTTAGTTCCGTGCGGGAGCGGGATCCGCCGCCCGTTGCGCCGTTTGCCGTTTGCTGGGATGGTTTCTGTGACGGGACGACGGAAATGGAAGGTTCGTGGACGGTGGTGATTGGGTGGTGCGGTTGCTGGGCAACGCGCCGGTCTATTGACTCGCGACGTCATTGGGGGATGGTGACAGCAGATGAACTCGAGGAAGCGGGATGCAGAAAAAAACCCTGCTAAATCAGGTCAGCACCCAATGAGAGGGACTCACTGGCAAAATCCAAAAAAGAGGAAGCAGGGAAACCCGTGCTGGACCCCGGTTGGCATACTCCCCCCACCAACCACCTCAGTTGTACGTATCCCAGCCACATGATTTTTGGTTTCTATAGGAACAACCATCCACCACGCAGGTGGCCAGGCAACTCTTCTCTGCACTCTTCCCCATCCATCCGCAATCTGATTTTCCTGCCCTTCGCCTTCAATCTGAAGAGTGGGCTTAGCATTCCATCAACACCACGAGATTGTCTCACCGATATCGAATCCCACCTTTGCACCATCCATCGTCACCGAATATCGACACCATGGCTCCGGCCGTCGTCAACGGCCTGGCGCAGCACGCCCGCTCCGTCATCTCGGGCGGGCTCTCGAGCCTTCCGCAGACGGCAGACATCACGGCGAGAGGGTTCGACCCGGCCGTCGGCCCCCTCGTCGCCAGATCCATCCTCGCCGCCCGTGACGGCACGCCGGCGAAGGAAGACCCCAAGAGCGGCGTCACAAGCCCCGGCGACATCAACAACACGGCCATTTTTGTGCTATTCGGCCTGATCGGTGCGGCCTTTGTCGTCACCGGCATCTGGTTCTTTTTCTGGGCCAAGAACGGCGGCTTCTACTTCAAGGAGGACGACTGGGACGACTACAAGTCGACCGTCCTGCGCCGCAAGGGACCCAACGGCACCATCCTGTCCAACGCCACCAAGTCGACAAAGCTCGGGGGCGGCAGCGTGTACAAGGACTACGACGATAACCAGACCAGCATCTCGGGCACCACGCTGTCGGGCATCACTGCGGGCGCGAGCGACATCGCCGCCCGCGAGAAGCGTGAACGCAAGAAGGAGAAGCGGCGTAGGGAGAAGAAGGAGGGACGCCACAGCGAGAAGCGATCCCGCCGGAACAACGACGAGGCCAGCGTCCTCATCGATGAAGAGGCGGAGCGTGAGGCCAAGCAGCACCTGAGGTCGTACCGCCACGAGAGGCCTGCCCGCGTCGGCGGCATGAACAAGGAGTCGGAGTCGTCCGAGTGGGACGGCTCTACCAACCCCACTGAGTCGTCCGTGTCATCCAACCTGCTGTCGAACCGCGAGACGACGCCCACGTCGACCCCGACCAAGGGCGGCATTCGCAAGGTGTACAGCACGGCAGACCGCAACGAGGAGCGTGAGCGCCAGCGCATCCGCGCCGAGGCCAAGAGGCTGCAGGAGAAGGGCCGCTCAGCCGGCAGCTCCAGACGTGACTTCAGCTTCCAGCGCGCCAGCACGATCGCCGAGGACCAGGCCACCCGCGGATACGCTCTGCCGCCGCCGCAGGAGGAGCCGGAGCCCAGCGTCCCCGGCGCCTGGACCGAGAGCGACATTACCAGCGCCGTCGAGAGCGACTACGGCAACAAGTCGTACCACCACGTCATCCCCGGGCTGAGCAGCCAGAGCGCTGTGAGCAGCGAGTACGCAGACGAGAGACGGAAGAAGAGACACGCCCGTCGTCACCGTGATCACTGAAAGGACTGGATGGGAGGACAAATTGATTGGCGAGCATTGCAACTCTTGGCGTTGGGATTGATAATGAGGACTGGGACTATGTAGGTTAGCACGCGTTCATGTAGATTGACGGATAAACGACTCATGGTATTGTCGGACGTATACAAACAAATTGTCATTCATTCGGTGTGCTGGGAGGTGATGTTGAGGTGAGGTCGAAGTCACGCTGTGACCGTGCGAGCACAGTGTAAAGATCTTCTGGGGACCCGATTGGTAATGGCGGGGGCCGTTCTAGCCCCGCGTCCCCAGGTGAGTGCGATGCGCCGCTGTCGGGGCAGTCGCTGCTGCTGGTGAAAACACCGGATACCATGATGTCGCGATAAGCCCCTCCATTCACCCCAAGGAGGAAGCCCCGGTCGCCCGACGAAGAAAACCAAAAGTATGTTGTTCTCCAGGACTTGGGCGGAGCGGAGCGCCCTGTCGCCGCCACAGCAGCCCCGACTGCCCCTCCTTGCACCGCGGCCGCCCGCCGAAAACTCAGAACTGACGAGCGTGTTGAGGACCCGACCACCCGCGTCAAAATGGCCGACGACGAGCAATGGAACGGCATGGAGAGCACCATGGAGGACCCGGAGGAGACCAAGGTCATCTTTTGTGCCCTGGACTCGTTTCTGTGAGTGTGGTCGTGTTTCTTTGGTGACCGCAGACTGACACGCGCAGCCAATATGCCAAGGTGGCTCACTTCAACGTCACTCACCTGAGGAGGCAGTCGTTCTACGCGCTGCCCCAGGCCCACTGGCAGATGCTGGCGGCCCCTCCCTTCAACTTCTTGGACACGCTGGAGCGCACGGATGAGGCCATCGACACCAACGCGGAGCTCGCGAGGGCGATTGCGCAGAACGGGCTGCGGTCCTGCGGTGCTGTAGACCCTGGCAGCGGCGAGCCCAGGATGCCCGACGAGTGGGTGGGCGTGGCCAAGCACAACGACACCGACAAGGCCCGGAGCACCCTGCGCCAGTTCTTCCGCGACTGGTCGGCCGACGGTGCGGAGGAGCGCCGCGCGTGCTACGGCCCCGTGCTGGACGCCGTCGCTCGCGAGCGCCAAGACGCCGCCGCCGCCCCGCTGAAGGTGCTCGTCCCGGGCGCAGGCCTGGGCCGTCTAGTGTTCGAGCTGTGCCGCGCGGGCCACGACGCGGAGGGCAACGAGATCTCCTACCACCAGCTGCTCGCCTCCTCGTACATTCTGAACTGCACGACCGGGCCGGGGCAGCACACAGTCTACCCTTGGGTGCACTCCTTCTCCAACCACCGCACGCGGACGAACCACCTGAGGAGCTGCGCGATCCCCGACATCCACCCGGCCTCCGCGCTCGCGGCCGCGGGCCCGTCGGTCGGTTCCATGAGCATGTGCGCGGCCGACTTTCTCTGCCTGTACGCCGACGCCGAGCACGCGGGCGCCTACGACGCGGTGGCGACCGTCTTCTTCCTCGACACCGCGCCGAATCTGATACGCTACCTCGAGACCATCCACCACTGCCTACGGCCCGGGGGCGTGCTCATCAACTTTGGGCCCCTGCTGTGGCACTTTGAGAACAACGCTCCCGGGAACCACGGCAAAGACACGGACGGCGACGGGGAGCACGACTACAACAACTCGTCGGGCATTGCCGACCCCGGCAGCTTCGAGCTGAGCGACGACGAGGTCATGGCGCTGGTGGAAAGGGTCGGGTTCGTCGTCGAGCGCCGCGAGACGGGCATCGAGGCGCCCTACATCCACGACCGCGAGAGCATGTTGTCGACGACGTACCGGGCGAGTTTCTGGGTGGCCCGCAAGCCGCGGTAGCATCTTCTGTCACAGCGAATAGCATCATAGACGGGCATCGTAATACACATTGTTACTGTTCTACAATTTGGACACGTTCAGCTCCCCACGCTGCCACAGCGACCCTCCGTCAATCGCGATGACCTCGCCGTTCACGTGGGACCCGGCGCGGCTGGCGAGGTAGACCACGGCGCCTGCAATGTCCTCCGGCTTGCCGAGCCGTCCCATGGGGTTGCCCTTGCCGATCTTGTCGGCGCCGCCGGCAATCTTCAGCAGGCCGTTTGACATCTTGCTGGGGAAGAAGCCGGGTGCGATGGAGTTGACGGTGATGTGTCGCGGCGCCAGCTCCAGGGCCAGGTTCCTGCCGAGGTGGATGACCGCCGCCTTGCTCGCGCTGTACCCGTACGTGCCCTGCTTGCCGAGCGTGCCGATGCCGAGGCCGGCGACCGAGGCCGTGATGATGACACGCGCCGGGTCGCTCGTGTTGCCCGCCTTCTCGAGCAGCGGGGCGAAGAGGCGGATGGTGTTGAAGACGCCCTTGACGTTGAGGTCCATGACCTTGGCGAACGCGTCGTCGGGGTGCGAGTCGAACGCTTGTCCCCAGGTGGCGCCCGCATTAGCAAACAGAATGTCGACCTTGTCGGTGTGTTTCTTGACCTCGGCAAGCAGGTGCTCGACGCCCTTGATCGAGGCCGCGTCGGCGGGGACGGGAATGGCAACGGCGCCGGGGCTGCGGTTCGGGAGGGTGTTGAGGGCCTTGCAGGCCTCCTCGCACGCGTCGGCCTTGCGGGAGGAGATGAAGACCTTGGAAGCTCCAGCCTGCAGGAAGCTGTGTTTGTTAGCAGAGTCAATCGGCGCAGGGAGCTAGACGTACGCTGAAGCGGCGTGCAGGCCGAGGCCGCGGGAACCGCCCGTCACGACGGCGACCTTGCCCTTGAGCGAGAAGAGGGACGGGAAATCTTCCAATTGAGCTTCGGCCATTTTTGCGTTTGAATGAACAACAATAACAAAGTGAAATTGAAAGGGGAGGTCGGGATTAATAACCCGGAGCTGCAACGCGCGGACCCCCCGGTCGGTGACGTTTGCGGGGGCGGGTTACCGAGCCTCGGCTTGAGCTCTGAGCTAGCCCCGGATTCACCGACCCACACCTGAACGTGGGGTGAAGCTTTTGTAATTGGCATTTTGGCTTTTCAATGTGCAGAATTTCAGCAGTTTGCTGTAAGGCACCGATGACAAGGGTATTGAGGCGCAGCGACATTCGTCATTGATATTGGCAATTTGGTACTAGATGCGATACGTAAATGTAAAAGAGATCCGGACACAGTCTCCCATGGTCTGTCTCCATGCCGGTGCTGGTGCTGTTTTGTGTTGCCGTCGAAATCGCGGCGAATAAATCCTTGAATGTCATAAATCGTCATCCGTAAGATGCAACATGAGATGCAACGTAGAATAGCCTTCAGAAGACTCAGGTCGTCGAAGGGCAATCACCCTCGACGACAACGTAATATACTGCCACAATCGCTTATAGCTGTGGCGGCTGAAACGTCGGGTTCCGTCGAACCCAGGATCACTGAGATCCCTTACAACTTTTGCTCCCAGCAGTAGTCGACATTCGCCCTGATTGTGGGGATTTCATCCTTTACGATGCTGCCGATGAAGAAAACCTTGATGTTGTGTTCAATCGTGGTGAGTTTTGCGTAGTTGACGCGCGACTCTTTCGAAAGCCGCTCGCCCTCAATGTTGAGCCTGGCTTTCACCGGGGGGAATCCGAGTTCCGGTTCTCTCGGGAGCTTGTAGGCGCTGCGGTTCCGCTCGTGGATGACGCCGTGTTTGAGGGGCTTCACGCCGCTCTTTCTGCAGCCTCTGCCTCCGTACGTGAGAATCGGCCTGACTTGTCAGTGAATGTCATGGTGTGGAAACAGGTCTGCTCACACGCAGGTCGAGTGGCCCTCGTCGGTTGCGACCACGATGAACCGTCGAGGTCCGACGTGGAAGTGGCCGCCCCACGGATCCTTCATTGACTGCTTGTCCGACATGGTCGGTGCCGCTTGCGCTGTGCTACCTCGAGGTTCGGACCACACGATTTTGAAGATCTACCATGTCAGCGCGAGAAGCACGGGGATATCGGACTACTCACTGCTCCAGGCTTAAACTTGCTCGACGGTTCGACTCTGTAGCCTGTTGATTGTTAGTGCGAACTACGGGTCACGACTATAGGCACGTACGAGGATCCAATCTCTCGCCATAGGCGGCGAGCTCTTGGGCACCGACAGGCCCCCCCAACGCTTTTGGCGTGACCGTACCATCGTCGTCCTCCTCCGGCGAGTAGGCCCCTGTTCGTGTCAGCCACAGCTACCAAATCGAGGGCGTTGCCATACCGTATCCCGAATCGATAGACGATTCACCTTCATTCGCGTAGCCGAAGTTGTGGGAGTCGCTCGCTCGCATGGCCTCAATCTCCTCCGGTGCAAAGTCCTGTTGGGGATCGCCTGGGATTGTTAGCACGGCTTGCGATGTGGATGCAGTGGGCATACCCTGGTAGGCATCGGTTTGCGCATAGTCTGTCGAGTATGCCGTGTTTGTATCAGTAGCAAGTGCTGTACGGGCTTAGCGTTTGTGCTTCAATCTCAATGGTTCTCTTACGCTCTGACTCTGCTTCGTAGACTGATTGTGTGGTCTCCTGTTGCGCGCCGAAGAAAGGGTCTAGAGGCGGAACCTCATCGGGAGTTGGGGGTGGATCGCCTGAAGGGTCGGGCTCGGCTTCGGCATACTCAGTCGGCTGGTCTTTTGAGCGTTTGCTCCTCTTCGTCGTATCTGCGTTGCGTTAGCCGGGTAGCAACACGCGGCCAGCAGACTCACCATGACTACTCCCAGCCTGTGACCCGTACGCATAGCCATAACCGCTATCGGGAGTGTCTGACAAGGACAAGTCGTCCAGGCCATGCTGTATGTCTATCTCGGCCTGCTGGCGAGGTGCGGCCTCGTCCTGAGGCTGGGCACTCGACGCCCCCTCGTCCCACTTGTACTCGGTCTCGCCTGTGACTGTCAGATTTTGCTACAACACCAAAGTTCCCACTCACCATTCCGCTTCATGCGGTAGCAGTAGTACTTTGAATACTCGGCCGACCACACCCAGTCACTCCAGGGGCTACCACCGCCGCCATCGTGCTTCGACTTGTGTTTACTGGAGGAGCTATGCTTCGGCATAGTGGCATCGCGGGTCTACACTTTATGTGTGTCCCGCTAGTGAAAAGTGCCGATCCGGGGGGGAGGGGGGAAAGAGTCCACAGCAAGTCGGGTTCGGGACTCGGGGGAGGGAACGGGTCCTGATGAAAGGGCCAGTTGAGCCGCAATGCAGAGAGAAGAGACAATCAGACGTCGATAGGCAAGTCGGGCCTGAGATGTCGGGGCCGTATGGAGGATAAATGCAGCAGGCCGCGGGCTTAATTGGTGGCAGCAGCTGCGCAGGAACGCGTGACGTATCCGGAGAGCTGTGACTGGCGAAGACTGGCGAGAGAGAAGGGGGTGGTGGTGGGATAGGATCTCAGCAGCAAAAGTCCTGCATTGCGTTGCCTTGCATAGCACTCCTCGGTCGTCAGTCCCAAGCCGGAGGGTTGGTGATCCCAAGCTTGAGTCAGAAGAGAAAGAGAGATGGAAGACGGACGGAGGAGAACAGAACGGAACAACGAGAGAGAGGGTGTGGAACGGCACGTCTGCCATATCTTTCCGGCTCTAACCCTTGATAAGAGCATGGCTCTCCATCCCGCTATCCGCTTTCCCACTCGACGTGGAGCAGCACGTAGCGAAATAGACGCCAGCTCTTGTCGCCATGAGGTGGTCTCAGAAGGGACTGGTAGGAGAGGAGACAGACAGAGGAGAGACTAGAGTGACACCCCTGGCGCTGTGTCGTGCGGACGACTGGGGCCTGCGCATCCCCTCTGTATGAAGGCCCGAAGGCGGGCAGGGCCACTGGCAGGTTGTAAGCAGCGTGAGATGTAATTTGGGTACCAGGTACTTGCAGAGGAGGAAATGGCAAAATGCAGACGACAGAGAGCAGGCTGTGGTTCTCGTGCGGGTGCGTCTATTGCTGGTGCAGAAGTGGAAGTGGTGTGGCCCATTCCCACCAGTAGCGAGGCGGGTTGATGTCGATAAACCCCGCGCTGCTAGTGACTCTTCACGTCCACTGTCACCTGTGTCCACCAGCCGGTGGACCGCCGAGACTGGGACGGGACCCCCCCACGGCAGCAAGCGATTAGCAGAGCTACTGACACACCCATCGCCAGGGGGAGAGACGGCTAGTGCCCGCGAGGCAGGTGGATCCGTCTACCGAGAACGTGTGGTGTCCCGGGTACGGTGCCAGGTGCTGTGCTGATGCTGGTGCTGGTGCTGCTGATGCAGTCCAGTCTTTACCAGCACAGCGTTGCTGGGTTGTCTGATGCTCGGTCAGCGGCCATCCCGGATTGCACACGTTGTGTTCCCGCGGCATGCATCTCAAATTAGCCAGCCAGCCTGCCGCACGTCCGCAGGGAGGAAAGCATTCGCAGTGCGAGTAGCAGCAGCTGTGCAGCGCGTCCTTGCCGGGGGAACGAAGGCTCCTGCAAACGAACAGAGCCGCTCTCGCTGGCTCGCTCGCTTCACTTATTCAGTCAAGGGCACAAACCCACGCGTCGTCGACTGATCCTTCTCCAGCTCCTGGAGATATCGTCGCCTCGGACCTCCGTCACACTCGTCGTCGCTGCGGTGTCCCAAGGCGATGGCAGATAATGGAACAATATCACGATCAGTACGCACCTTAGCCCGTCCTCATGGCTGCCGCAGACTCCCCCGACCGTCAGTCCTTACCATCGAGCCCGTCGGGGCATGGCCCATCCGGCGAGAATGACAGGTCATCTGACACGACACCCACGAGAGGTGTCGCCGCGCTCGACCTGAGCCCGCCATCGCCACCACCATCACGTCCGTCTCTGCAATCGGACAGCATCGTGGAACACTCGCTCACTCCGCCGGCGCGATCTGGTCTTGTCTCCTCTCACCGCCGCGATGACGGCCGGTTCAGAGCGCCCGGCCCGCGTCCTCCGCCTCGCGACGCCGGTCCAAATTCCAACATGCCAAAACCTCCTCCGCCTCCACCACCACCGCCCCCTGGGAGCCGGCCAGCAAACATCACACATCCCCGTCCACCACCGCCGCCGCCGCCTCCGCCGCCCATGGCACGGCGAAAGAAACCCCTGGCCGGCACCATGCCATCATCGCCGCCCCTGTTGCTGTCTACAGAAATATGGCAGCAGCCCATCACCTCGGACTCTGGGGCCAGCTCCGACGAGTCTGACGACTACTTTGATCAGCAGAACCGGACGGCCTTTCCTCCTCTCATGCCCACCGTCCAGTCACGCAAGGCCGTGGAGAGGGACCGGAGGAAAATCACAGACGTCATCACGAACAAGGTCTCGCGCCTCGCGCACTCTCGCAGCCCCGTTCCCAGCTTGGAGTCGGACGCATCGTCTGTAGCATCGACCATCTCGTCAGGGGATGACGGCGTGCAGCATCTGTGGGTTCTCATGAAGGAGCGTCGTCAGAGAGTCTACGGCATCAAGCAGGAGATGGCTAGCAGGCGCAGACATCTCCGCGAGCTGCGTCGGAGGAAAGACGAAGCCGATAACGCGTTCATGAACATGCTGCGCCCCATCCTCATCAGGGGTCGGCGGAGCACGCTGGGCACGTTGGACGACACCCTGGACAAGAGATTCGCCGACATGCAGAAACTGCGCACCGACTACCATTTCTTCGAGTCGGACTACGAAAATCTCGAGGTCAGTCTAAACGAGCAGGAGGAAGATCTCATCAACATTGAGACACGCTTCTTCAGCATCTTGGCCGCCGGCAGCACGAGCGCGGGGCAGGAATTCGAAATGGAGGATTCAGACGACGACGAGCTCGCGGAGCAGTCGAGCATGCCGTACGACTTGATGGGCATATCCCGC